TAAACAAGATAATTTGTATAAAGTATTTAGGAAACTAAATATTTGTAATTCTGCATTATTACTTCAAATATTATTTTTCCTTGTAATTATTACTGTTAAAGTTTTCATACTAAAAGAGAAAAAGCAAGGTTTATGAAAGAAATAGAGGGTAAGATGAGTAGTTTATGAAAACAAGATAAAAGTGGATTGCCACTATCTAATTTCTCATATCTTATGTTTGATGTATACAATAAAGCAGACTAAAAAGAAAAGGCCTATTTTAATGAATAACTGACCTTAGGAAATTATTTACTTCAACTGTGAAATGACACAATTTTTAGGTGAATAATTATACTGACTTCTGAGTTTAACCATATGTTCCTATGTCAAGTACAGGCTTAACGAAACCGAGTACTCACATGTCTTCACTATGCCATGTGAAGAATCAGTATATTACAACATAAGTCAATATTAAGCAGATTTACCAATAATCAAGAATCTTCCCTAACAAAATGCACAGTGCAATACCTACTAAGCCTGGGAAACAAGACAGAGACATACAATAAGGATTTGAATGATAGAGAATCTATCTCAGGAGTGTTGGATCCAAATCCATAATTTAAGAGTGCTGAAGCCCAAGCATGTTTTGAGGACTCTTCCTCAAAAGTGATATCAAATGTACACCCACATGTCCTTAATAAATATTCATTTATGCCAAAATGTTAGATATAGTCAAAACTTAAGCTTATAACAAAAGATTACTAAGGCAGAAAAACGGTTTAGTTAAACTTCAATTTTTGTTTTCAGTACGAGTGAAAATTGTGATAGAAATTAGGAACAACAGTGGTGAATGAACCATATAAATGAATCAGCAGTGATCACCTATCTGTTGGACTCAGAGCATTAGAGACAAAATTCAAACACATTCCAAGTTTTTCTTTAATCAGAACCATGTTATCAAATGGTAAGATCTTATTCATAAAATAAATATAAAAATACCACAAAAGCAACATAAAAATAACCATGGAAGCTAATTTTTTTATTTGTGTTAGTATGAAATAAGAGCTATCACAAAACATGTTTTTTAAAAATATCTCAGTATCAAACACTAATTGCCAAACAAAAGATATCCTATGTTAATTATCTGAATGACTGCAATTACAACAGGAATAATCATTCTTAACACTAACAGAAAACATGGTATAAATTACTTTTAGGATTTACTATTTTGCATTATTGCAATAATAGGATTAACATGCAAGACATTATATAATGCTCAGGAGTCTATAGGTCATGAATTTCAAGATGAATATCACCAATTATCCCCAAATTAAGATTAAAAACAATTTGAATGATGTCAGCCAATGTTAATACAATGGTTCTTATAGCAATCATTAATTGTTTATATTTATTATGTTAAACAAGTTTATTTGCTTAGTAATAAATTTACTTTGAATACAGCAAACATAAGTAGATGGCATAGTTCCCTTATCATATGACTTCAAATTATATAATTTATAAAACCTGCTTTTAAAAAAGGAATAGTTGCAAAATTGTTTCAAAAATAGAATTATTACCATAAGAGAAGGCAGGCTAAAAATTTTTTAATGAAACATGAAAAAGCTAAACATTAATAAAATAATAGTCAGTATTCCAAACAGGATATACTCAGATTTTCTAATACATTTCCCTCCACCATAATATATTTATAATATAATCTTCATTCTATTCAGGTTGTTAGTACTGCTAACATTTTTCTATTGGTAATTTTACTATGGATACCTGTGTCAAATCATTTTCTAATTTTGCCAAAATATTTTACCTCACCAAAAAGCACATATTTTGTCTCAAAATGAAAATTCTGTAAAAGCTGTCATGCAAAACTACACTATAGGCAAGGAAATCAAGAATTATGATCTTAGCTGGGCATTGGTGGTGCACACCTTTAATCCCAGCACTCGGGAGGCAGAGGCAGGAGGATCTCTGTGAGTTTGAGGCCAGCCTGGTCTCCAAAGTGAGTGCCAGGATAGGCTCCAAAACTACACAGAGAAACCCTGTCTCGGAAAAACCAAAAAAAAAAAAAAAAAAAAAAAAAAGAATTATGATCTTATCCTCACAAAAATATTTTCACTAACTGAAATGTGATAATTGCATTTTTGTTCACTTACTTATGCAAACTTTAGAGTGTATTTTCACATATAATACAAATGTAAAATTAACTTTCTTTCAGCAACAAAAAATGGTAGCATAAGAAAGTTTTTATATAGATACTGTGTGTACATTATAGAATAAGAGAAAAGTATTTCAATTAGACACAAATCTATATTACTGTGCCAGGAGAAGATAACCATTTAAAAACCCCACTTTCCATTTAAATGCCATCTCTTAAAAAAGCACTGCTAGAAGACAGGTTACACATCTCCCTGTAATTAGAAACCTATGTATTTATTGATGAATACAGAATGCTAAAGACAGAGTTGGAAGGGTTCCTAAATCACAGAGTCCATCATATTCATAGAGCCTTAATATCCTAATGAAATAATGGTAAGGATAGAAACGATAATGAGTGCTTTCACATGTACATTGAATGTCTACTGCACACTAGCTAAGCACTGTGCTCTTTGTACATCACTACTTAATTCTCATGGCACCCTAAGAAGCAAATACCTTTGTTGTCAAACATTTCACAAAATTAGGGCTCAAAGCTGGTTAAACAGGTATGATTTGATTTTAAAGCTTATGTTTCCTATTGTATACATATACACACACAAATACATTTCCCCAAGTTTCTAATATAACCAATAAGAAATACACAAATGGGTAATATGGCTTAGGGTGGGGCTTCGGGGACATGAGGTTTTTCAACCTATGTGGCTTTTTATATGCCTCACAAACAGTAAGCAAAGCAAGTAAGTGACAAAAATCTTTATACCAGACTATTTAAAACAGGAAAATTGATAAAAGAAAAAACAAGCATGTCCTTTCTCAAAGATAAAATATAATTAAAGATAATTCAGATGATATTTGGATTAAAATGAGAAATTGCGGTTAGTGCAAGCCACAATATTTTTAGTAATTACTATAAGATAGAAAGAAAAAAGAGGATTCCCATCATGGATCATTGAGTTTTAACAGGAAAATGATTACAGGGATACCCAATGAGCTCTCGGAATTTTTATGATAAAGAGAAAATAGAAAGACAATAATGTCTGATGTCAATCACTTCCCTTCAAGGTCAATCAGGGATCTATGAGGAAGAGGCGGATGCTTGCAAGGGTCAGATAATAAAGACACAGAGAACTGGTTCATACACGAATGCAAGGGATGGGAAGCATGCCCAAGACCTGTACAAGTTCAAACCCGACAAAACCTTAGCACTGAGAAAGGGAAGTGGGCACAAAGTCCAGCCCCCAACCAATCAGCTGTTGGAAAATGGAAAGTAAGTTTTCTTCAACATCATGGCACGAAGGTATATCAACTGCATCTCAGGTCGAGTCTCATGCTCAGTAATAGCTGTCCAACACTAAATGGACTCCATGTGTGTTTTGTTTTGTTTTAGGGTGTGTATGTGCTTAAGAGAGAAGGAATATAAAGTGGAATAGGGATGGAACCTAGGAGGAGTTGGGGTGGGGGTAAGAATATAATGACCAAAAAAGAGTGAAATTAAAAAAAAAATTAAAGATAAACTACTGTTTGGTATTAGAATATTCTATATATAAATTACTATATTCAAGTCCATGCATCTGGACTGCACAGTAAATCACCAGTTCAAAGAAATGATAACAATGTTAAACAGTAACTTCCTTCTATTGTATTAAAGACCCTATTTTACTGCTGGCAATAATTGAAATTAGGAAACATGGACATAAGTCTTCATTTATTCATGAAGAGGAGTTTAAACAACCAAACCCACTTTTTCTTTATATTTGCAATTTTCCTTGAGGCATTAATGTGCATGTATCTTTGGACATACCAATTCTTTGCATCGTGGAATGCAAAATAGAATTTAACTCCTGACCTTTTAAATTGAAGTTCAGTATTTATAGTGACACACATATTATTTCACTTTTAAATGGCAATTCCTTAATATCACCCTGTGTTGCTCAATGACCATGACACAAAAGTTTGCCATTTTTAATGGGACAATGGAGCAGTTTCACTGATGCCAAAGCTAAATCACATAAATAAAAAGCATCCCATAAATACAAGAAAGCAGACTTCTTCAACAGAATTTATAGCTTCCTGAATAGAAAACATAAATAAAACACTCATTGGAGTTTTTATGTAAGTTTAAGAACACAGTCTCCACTCTGGCCCCAAGTTTGACTCCTTTGAGATACTTCAAAACTAATAATTACTGAGAAACTTCTATGTACATATCAGCAGTATGTTCTAATTTTTCAATTTTCAGCCTAATTGAGAGATATGCTTCATAGAAATATGTCCCAAGAAACTGCTCAGCTGTAGATGAAGACAAAAGGAGCATGTTTTAAAAATGTGATCTATAGCTTTACGTAGCTATCTTACACTAAATAAACAACTATTTTTCTCATTTACCTAAATACCACATTAAATCACCAGGAAAATACATTTTTCTTCCAGAAGGAAATTCAAAACAATTAGAGAACACAGACAGTCTAAAGGACTCTGGGTCTCATGAATGGATTCATGTGTGTTTACCTGTGCAATCCCATGCTTCTTTAGAGTGCTTAGTTGAATAATACACTCTGCCATGTTCAAATACTTTTTTCTAAAAAAACCCCTGCAAACTACATAACCAATATGACTGGTTTGAGCTGTAACCTCACTGTTCAAAAGGTATAAAGCTAGTCTAGCAGGATGAGCTTCCTCGGCTATAACACAGGAGTAGCAGCTACTTCTGACAAAATGCAATGTGTGGAAAGAATGGCATGGCACATAAATGACAGCAGGAACAGTCCTTACCTTTAGGGATTGGAGCTATTCAGAAACCATCAGAAAATCATAACTAGCAATAGCTAAAGTAGAAATTTAAAACTTACAACCCATATATTTGTGGTGCAATTTCTAGTCTGTTCAAGTGCATGTAGAGCTCAATATCATGTTTTTTCAGCAGATGATCCTGGATCTGGTTGACTTTAGTAACAATGGCAACTGTTGGCCCTAAATCCTGAGGTCTAGCAAAGGGGATGGGGGTCATCAGAGTTTCTTTTCCCTGAAAATAAGAAAAATAGAACATGTATTATTTCAACTTAGGAAACATGGACAATGCTTTTAATTTATTCATCAAAAGGAGTCTAAAGAACCAACACTACCCTGTCATAATAAAGACATAACATTCATACACCGACAGGTGGAGGCTGTGCCCATACAGCCATAGCCAAGATATCTCTTCTAAGCGTCTTTCCCTTGAACAGTTCTCTTGTGTCATTAAATTTTCCAGCAGAACGTGGCTAGAGGCAGTTAAGTGTGTCAAGCTGCCCTTGGCCAGTTGATCTGATTTGCCATAGCATATAAATGCAACATTTTGATGGAAGTGTATTTCTGTAGCAATTAAAATTGAAACACTAAATGAAAACTACACAAAAGGGGAAGAACAAAAGAAATCACTTTAGAAAAGGAAATGCTCTCTCTGTCCTTTTGTCAATTTAAGTAGGTGAGAAAAGACTAACAACCGCACCACAGAAGGGCTTAAAATAAAATGTGTGAGGCCCTCCCTCAACGTCCTTTTCCCATCACTTCAAATTTTCATGGACGCCATTAAGCCTAACCCACTTTGACCTTCAGTCCTTCATTTCTATGTCTCGGGTACTGGCATTTGTAGCATTCCTTGCTAGTGAATCTTAGATTACTGCTGAGTTTAAATCTAATGCTCAAGCGATACTGTTAATGATGCTTTTATCCCAAAGATCCTTTTTCATACAGAAAAGTCTCAATTTTATCCTCTGCTCAAATGCTATTCCTCAGTGATTTCAACCCTACACAGAGCTTCAACAAAAAACAAACAAAAAAATAAGTAAATAAAGAAGAACATCAATATTAAATCTGTGTGTTTAAAGTAATGCACTATCAAAAGAAAGGCAATCTATCTGACACAGATATTTATTAATGTGGTTCAATAGCTATGCATAAAAAAAAACCTCACCAAGAGTGAAATATAAAGTTTATAATAGCTAGGTGTGGTATATATTTTTAATCCCAATACTGGGGAGGAGGATGGGAGGGGGAAGAAAGCATGCAGATCTCTATGAGTTACTAACTAGCCAGCATTCCATATTGAATCCTCATCTCAAAAAGACAAAATAGACTTAAAAAGTTTATAATAATTTTATAACTGGAAGTGGCATTACTGCATGAGTAATATGCATTTACAAAGGAAAGGCTCTATTTTCTTATATGTTGTATTTATTTGTCTACTAATATTATTAGAATATGTTATAGATACCAAGATTCACTATTACACCCTAAGTGTTTTTACATATTATTACAAAAATGAACAGATATATTATGGTGAAATAACTAATTATTCTAGTGTACATTCTTATTGACTAGATTTGTTAATAACACAAATGTACTGAAGACATCTGTACTGTAAGAGTTACCTTTTGACCATCATGCTCAAAAGTAGAAAACCAAGGTTCAGCAGTTTCCATAAGCTGTGAGAACATTGCACTAAAAATTGGAAAAATAAAATAATTTTATATTTAATCTTCACTAAAGTACTGATAGTATTTATTTTAAAAAGAAAAAGCAATAGTCACAGTACTTACAAGGCATCATGTTCCAGATACTCGGGATTCAATAGGATTTTCATTTCCTCACTTAAAAAAAAGAAGACAATTCAAGCAATCAATTTTAATAACTCTAGTAAAGGTAGCTTCTGCCATACTTTGCATTCATAAGAAAACTTACACACAATCTACAGCTAAAAAGTTAGGCTTTTCAAGGTCAACTCCAGTAACAAACAAAATTCTGTTTTTTATAAAGATCAGAAAGTTGTTTGCTTGTCTGGGTCCCAATGCATTAACCATCTAGTTATTCCAAATAATGTATGGAAAGAGTGACACTATATTCCTTGAGTAAGTTTGATATAGAATAAATTTTTAACTCTACATTATATCACTTTTCTTTCAAAACAAACACAACTATAGTTACTGATTGAGCATGCAATGCCAAAACATGTTTTATTGCCTTCTTATTTCATCTTAACATCCATTAGTCACCAACAGAACCTTTAGTAAATCTACTCGATGCCATTCTACTTTGTAATGGATTAAAACAGCACAGTCTGTTCATTCTGAATTTACCTCCAATCACCTCTATGTTCTAGCATGTAAAATACATGCAACGGTGACAGAAATAAAGCTGGCATGAAAATATGATTTCAAGACTAGTTTCATGAGACTATAGAGTAACTCAAGGCAGTTAAAAGGTAAGTCACTTGTGTCAAGATTTGATCAAATCAATAAAGTTAGAAAACTATACATTATACAGCCAGTAATTCATATTTTAGCAGACAAAGGTTAATATAATTTGGGCCAGTGTCCAGCAAAACAGAGAACATACATCTGACTAGGAAGGGTCATACAGACATGTGTCAGGTTTCAGCAGGTATTTTTTTTATCCAATTCATTTAGATTGGATACTCTTGACAATGCCTGACAACCCTATAGCTCACCAATCATAATTTGCTTCTTAGTTGCTTCTCTGGTGTTTTAAATTAGAAAGCTAAATTTTAGCAGTTAACAAGTTAAGGGCTATTACAAAAGTCATCTAGAAGAAAGACTAACTGAAAGTGTCTCATGAAAGGCTGCTCTATTTCCCAGAGTAGTGTCCTTGGCAGCACTACTCCATTACGGACTGAGCTCAGTCAGAGCTGCTGGGGAACTAACACAGAAAGTTCCCATCAACTATAGTGACAACTTAGAGCACAGCATGCCTGAGTATTATCCACTATCAGCAGTTTAAAAGGACAACAGACATTTCCTTTTTGGTCCATTTATGTCATCATTTGACACAGTCTTAACATTTCAAAGACATGATTAAAACTTGCTATAAATCTAAACCAGCATTAGAATTTAACATGGATCAGACTCATAACCAATTATTCATAGAAAACAAAACTGAAGTAGCTTTAATTTGAAAATATTTGAGATTTAACATAACAAAAGATACATTGAGGGCAGAAAATACACACAAACTCATGTAACAACTTGCCTGGGCTGTGCAGACTCGCTGGCATGTAGAAAAGCTTGGTGGTCACAGTGAAGGATAAAGATGATAGGTGCTAGTAGTTCATGCATACCCTGTAACATAGGGTCAGAAGAAATGAATGGAAAGATAATAAGAGTACACTAGTAGGTAGTAGCAGCTGAGTCAGATGCTTTTGTTCTTTTGTTACAGTGCTTGAGATAGAACCCAAGGCTTCATGTGTGTAAAAGGACATTTTCAACATGTACATACACATTCAAACAATCACTGCCACAAAGGTGTTCATGTTATATAGAAAAGCATAAGAGTGGAATGCTACAAAATGACTTCTATCTACTTTTAGAATTTGATTGTAATTCAACCAGAGCATGTATTCTTCTTGAAAATATAGGGAGCAGTTATCTTTTAAATAACATGACAAACAATAAATTGGCATGGTAGACAACCTTGCACCTGTCAGTTGCTTCAAGATCTGTACTCATAAATATGAATTTCACTTATGCAAATTATAATCATGAGCTACAGTGTAAAGATCTGCACTAAGGGCAATGAAGAACTGTAGACATAAGAAATTACACCCAATGTTTTCATTATATAATGGCTCCAAATTAGGATGCCTGTAGATTTAGGAAGAGCTGAAGTCAGCTAGCTAGGAATGTTGGATAATAAAGAGAAACAATCTTTAGCAAGTATGACAGAAAACAAAGTTTTCAATATAATTTTGAACATGTTTAATCAGAAACCTCACATTTCTCTGTGAGGTTTAACTTCAATAACAAAGTTAAAATGTTTTCTTTTATGCTAGTGTTCAACAGTGGATCACACAAATAGGCACAAATCCCTCAAAATGTTAGTTGTTACTTCAGCTTTGAGGTTGTTAGATTAGATACTAGCCTTATTAATATAGATTTTGGTATTTTAAATATAAATGCCATGCTTTAGCACACAAAACAGTTTGTAATTTTTTTGCAACTTATAATAAGCAAATAACCACTTTCTTTTTCCTTAACAGATAAAAATGATCTTTTATTTTAAAAACTGAGAGAAAATATAAACTTTACAGGAAGAAAAATGAAACATGAGAGTAGAGAGATCATTTTGCTGGTAGAAAGGGAGGCAGCTTCCTGTGTTGTGAGGACAGACTATGCTTGTCTCAGAAAACCAGTCATCATCACACTGATATCATCAGAGTGTATGACATCACTTCAGTAGACTCCACTCATCAATTGCCTGTAGTCTCAAATACAAATGATTTAGTAACACAGTTGTAGAGTGACTCATTACGAATATGTAATATGGAACAAACTGTCATACACACCTAAATTATTTTACATAACCCTGAGAAAGCATGGGAAACCCTGAAAAATCAGACAGCTGTGGGTTAAAAGGGATAGGATGAAATGGATATAAATACAATTAGCACTCACTTATAAAGTTCTCAAAAATTTAATTAAAAGAGTCATCATCTACTTACCTACTTAATGTAGAAAATGTAAGAGAAGCAAAGCAAAATGAGAATGAAGTCAGGCAGACAGACTGCCCTGATACCAAATTAACACTAAATTAAAAACTACAATAGATACCTGGATGGTATCAGTTTTGACCGTTTCTAATAGTTTGTTCAAAACCATTCTTTAAAGTAGAGTAGAACTTCTGGGTAATAACAACTGT